TTTTTAAATTAAAAGTTTTCACAATAAAAATAATTGAAAAATTGAAACCTAAAAAAATCTAAAAATTTACTAAAATAAAAATTTTTAAAAAAATTTTAGTTTAAAACTTAAGGAAAATTAAAAATTAATATCTAGAAAAATTTTAAAATTAAGATCTAAAAAAATTTTTAAAAATTGAATGCATAAAAGAAAAAGAAAAAGAAATTTGAAATAATTTAATGATAAAAGAAAAAAAAATTAATTACAAAAATTGAAAAACTAAAAAAATTCTAATCTAGACATTTTTAAAAGAAATAAAAACTATGCATTTCACTGCTTGTAGTAGAATGACTTATGAACGAAAATGTGATAAACACTACTATTACTAAGTTTTATTGTTCGAGTGTAGCCAATTACAAATAAGGAGGAATAATTTGTAATTGGTCATTTATACCTACAACAGATCGTAGGATGCGATCACTAGGGCGCAGTTACGTTGATCTGAGTCATACTAAGCGTAGTTTCTTATAGAAATCTTCACTACGATCAATGCGCCATAGTTACGCGTAACTGCGGCACAGTTGATAAAAAAGAGGCGACATGGGATATTATTTTTCTTCCGTCGTGAAGGTGCTTCATTTTGTCAAGACGAGCAGTTGATATTTTGATCTAGTTGAGATTGCGACATTTACCTTGATGAAGAAGGTCAATTAATTGTTGAATAGCTTGAAGATGTTTTTGTGCATATGTTAAACCACCAAGAGATTTTTTTATTTCTTAAAGAAGGTTTAAAATAGGGAAGATCTTTTCCATCGATGAATGATCAAACATTAGTATGTAAATGTTTAACTCAATCTAATTTTATTTGACGATTCTTTTCCATTCGTTCCGAAATTAAAAATGGTTTCAATTGTTGTCGAATTGCTTTAAGAGATAAATCAGAATTGATTAATAAATGTTCGAGAATAAGAATGATGACATTGATTAATACAAAGATTATATTTCATATTGAAATTAGAAATAATAAAGTATTCAAATCAGTGGATTTGTATCGGAAAAAGTATTTCAGAAATATACAAAAATTCAGTATTTTTCAAAGTTGATCGATTATTTCGCGTTTAATAAAAATGCTGAAAGTTCTGTACTATGGGGATTGTACCACAAATGAATCTCTATTGAATACACTATGCCATGACATCGAGCAATTCGACTTTTTTAAAAGTCGTGAGCACACGAATGCTGTAAAAAGCACAACTTTTTGTGTGGTTGATGATCATAGACGCCATATCTCAGAGTCGGACTTTTTAATTAACGCCATATTTTGTATGGTTAGATGCGTTCTTTTCATGAGGAATCTGAATATGTCCTCGAATTTTATTTTCGACCTTGTCTTAGTGTTGAAACATGTCGAAAACTAGATATGAACAATTTTCAAGAAAAACGCTTTTTCACTGTAACTCGATTTTTTTTATTGTTTTCAGTATTATTCGACTTATCTCGGTGAAAACAAAAGTTTTTAAAAATTTTTTTATCAATATGCTTTGAATTTTGAGTTCTACAAGCTCTGAAAGTTTCATCGAAATCGGTCACCTCTTATTGTATCGGTGGTTGAGTTCATGTGGAGTCACCCAAATCTTATTCGTATAACTAATGTTCAGACCATTTTTATCGGATTATCAATAAAAAAAAGTATAATAGAAATATTAATCGACTTTTAACGATATGTTTAAGAGCGACTTGTGAAATATAAATTTCTAGTATTTTACAGCAGCGAAAGTTTTTATGTAACTACACAATGTATATAAAGAGAGACTACCATTTTGACGAAATTTACTTCTGCAGAAAAACTGCAAAAGTAAATTCCGTATTGGCTAACTTTATANTTCGAAATCTCTAATAGTTTGATATTTTTTCACTGGGAATATGAGAACTTCTATGCAACGTAATCATCAAATGATGTTCATTCACTTGATTTGTACATATCTAACTAAATTGATATTGATATCGACTATCTATTTAATCAAAATAAATCCGGTGATCATTTCGCAACAAAAAAATGGTGATCAATTTCAACTTTTTTTGGTGATCAAAAGTCTATTTTCGCTATAACTGGCGAACGATAGTATTTTTCTACTATACGAAGACGTGCTTGGACACTCGTTCTGTTGTTTTTCAACTATATCGATATAGGTGGAAAACAACAGAACGAGTGTCCAAGTACGTCTTCGTGTAGTAGAAAAATAATATCGCTCGCTAGTTATATACAGTCGATACGTATATATTATACGAAGAATGGATAAAACATTCGTTGGTTGTGTATTTCGTCAAAATGGTAGTCTCTCTTTATATACATTGTGTAGTTACATAAAAACTTTCGCTGCTGTAAAATACTAGAAATGTATTAATCGACTTATTTTGAATTTCTTCAAACATTAAAAAGCATTTGAATATTATCGTCGAAACATTCATTCCATCATCTTCAGACTTCATTCAATATTATGTTTGGACAATATCTACAAGTGATACTATTTAGCGATCTTGTCATTATATACCGCATGATATTCGATTGTTTTCTATTTTATTCCTTCTTCAATATCGTATGATATTGACTTTATGTCGTTGACATATGAAGTGTCGATGAATCAATTGTCAATCACTTTTCTCGTATAAACAAACGTGCCGAGAATTGTAGTTGATGAATCCAAACACAATTCCCTATACATATTCATATCTATGAGTTTATTGAAATACATTGTAATGAACACAAGAACGACTAACTGAATGGCGTTCAGTTATTAATAACATGTAGTCGAACTGTGAAGGCACACTTATTCAAAAAGTAATAGTAGATTGTAATCCTGTCTATTTCTTGATTGTTTAGTTAAACTAAAGACAAATTAATCTTTATGAAGTCAATGTATTATTTTATTGTAATATCTAATTTTCTTCCGTAGTAATAACTTAAAGATGAGTTAGGAGAGGAATGAGTTGAGAATTAATTAAGAACGAACTATATATAGAATAGATGAATGAAGAAAAAGAGTTTTAGAGCCAAATAAGAAAGATCCTCATCAAATAATAGAATCATCATTCAAATCATTTTTCAACAATATAATGTACAAAATACTTATCGAGTTATCCTTAAGACAATTATCTTTTATCTTTTCTAAAAAATTAAGTTCAATTTAAATAAAATTATCTTAACAATTTTTACATTTTAATGTACATATTCGTACTATGTACCTCGAATCTTTAAGTGAATTGTCATAATTGTTCGAAGCAAAATATAGGCGATTTGGAAATAGAAGGGGGTGACTTCTTTTTTCTTCTTCTCAACAAATCAATATATTTCAGAATTTTTTATTTTATTCTAAGTAAGAAAGAGATTTATCAGTTGAATCTTTTATCTCATTGATTGGTTATAATTAGGCGGTTTTCTGAAAAAAACTAGATACCATTTCTATAGAATTAAATTTTATCGTTTACAAAAATAATTCCTATGCAACAAAATTTTGAAAAATTTGTTTTCTGAATAAAATAAAATCGATCTGATTAATCTACTGAGTATTAATGTTGATTACGAATCTTTGCTTTTAATTCTTTTTAGTTCAGTAGAAGATGATTTATTTTCTAATAATAATAAAGTTTCAATGAACAAAAATCGTCACAAAAAAAAACTAAATAAGTTTACTAATGTATTTCGTATTACTTTCGGTTTTGTTGTTGAAAATTTGTTTGTTGATTAATCATGGAAGGCATTGTTGTTGTTCGACTGTTTAATTGCGAATATGCTTGAAAAATAGCAGCTGCTGCATCAGCTGCTGCTGCTGAATTTGGCATTGTTTGATAAAGATTTTGATTTATCATTGACGTTGACGGATATGAATATTCAGATGATTTACCAACAATATCAGATTTAGTTACTTGTGTTGTTGTTTGTTTTAATGGAGATTTAATTAGTAAATTTTTATCATATGTGTCATATAAAGAATAGTTTGATGTAATAAATGAATTTTGATTTGTTGGTATCGATGATGATAGTGACGATGAATAATTAAACCCAGATGAAACGAGAGATGGACAATTTTGATTTGATTTTGAATAAGAATATGATAATGAATTTTGATTTTCTTCTGATAGAATTTGATGTCCTGATGATTGTATTTGACATTGAAATCTTTGTTGATAATCATTTAAATCTTTTCTTTCGTCATTCAAATTAACATTTGATTTTGAAAGATTTTTATCTTCAATTTTAATTGTATTTGATAAAGAATCAACAGGATTTTTTATTGGTCGATTTTCAATATCAAATTCTTCTTTAGAATTAAAACACGAAGATTTTATTATATTTGTTGAAAGAATTTGACGAATCTGTTCAGCAATAGTTGAAGATAAATCAGATGGTAATATTGATTGACCATCGCCTTTTTATTTTGAGAAAAAAACAACAATTTCAAGTCAATGTTTGAAAAAAAATCGAACTTTTAAATATTATTTACAAAGAGAATACTCGTCATGATATCCAATGGAAAATAAAAATAAAAATTTATTCGGCGAGATTCTTTTCTGTAATACTCTTGATAAATTAAAGAGATTTTTCAAAGGTTTCAACTTTAAAACAAACAATTCACACTTTCAATTGATTTTACTTAACAAATATTTTCATTCTAATAATATTTTAAATGATTAAAATTCATTGAAGATAAAGTGATGATCTTTCTTAGACGGAGACAAGAAAAAGTAAGAAAATTAACCTGTTTGATTATTTGTTTTAATATTTGCATATTGAATAGGTAGCGGTGGTAATGTTCCTGGAGGTAATGTCAACATTTTGGCTTTTTTTTCAAGTAAATAAACAAGTATACGATCAATTTCATCTAATGTTAATTGTCGTCCATCAGCTAAAAGACATAATAACATTGATAATGGTAATCTATCACCAATAGATAATGTTGAATCAATATATGAATTGGAATTTTCTTTATGTAAATTTTCTTTTGATTCAGAATAAACAATTGATGGAAGATTTTCATTATTATAAGAATTTATTGGATCATTTCGAATACGTTCTTTATAAAAAGTAAAATTTGTTAAAACAATATGATAACCATCTTCTAATGTTAAATTACGATGTTCTAAAAGCAGATTTTCTTTTTTCAAATAAATTTTAAATAAAAGAAAAAGAAAAAGAAAACCTTCTGTTTGTCCATGGAGAATATGAAAAGATGCTGTACGTCGTTCTTCATGCATTGGCATTGCAATTATTCCATAAAGACATTGTTCATGTGTAGCATTTTCAATAGCTTGAGTTAATGTAAAATCTTCTCGAAGAAGTATTATCGATGTTACAAGACCATGACCAACAAGACGAGAAGATATTTCTTCAGCATAATTCCTATAGAAAATATTTTATCAAAAATATTTTATTAGAAAAATAAATCAAAACCTTTGACGAGGATTAACAATAATTATTTGGCAATCTAATAATTGTCTTGAATTTTCAGGTCCTTGAAGAATTCTATAACATGATTGATCATGACGAGTGAAACAATCCATAGAATTATTATTTGTTGATCGGTTTACACGATTTGAGCATCTCGATGAAGATAAATATATACGACGATCATCACCCATTGTAATTTCATTTGAATCTCTATTGAAAATTCAATATCTTTCATATATTTTAACAAATATTTATACTGATTATTTATCTCAAGAATATGAAAATTTTTCTTTGAATTGATTTATCTAATAGTTGAAAATAATCATGTCATATCCAAGCATTTCAATAGTGGTGATTATCAGGGGTGGAATCCCTTTTTAAACTGTAAGAAAACAGAGCTTCGATAGTTTTAGAAGAATTATCTTATAAATAATATCGATAAAAATCTCAATGATATATATATATATATATATATATATATATATATATATATATATTTTAGAATATTTTCTTGATTATCTATAGAAAAACAAATTATAAAATAATATCTATCAAGACTCACAACATAGAAAAAAATCAATAAGAATAAAATAATCCGAAAATTAATGTAAAAAAAATGCATTCTTATATCTTATTGACGAAAACATTTCTATGAAATTTATTATTTTCAAAAATCTTTCTTTGGCAATAGATTAAAGTTATTTAATAAAGATGTCCATGAAGATAGAATAGAAAATTAGTTAAAGGATAGGGACGCATAAGGTGCCAGTTTTCGGCCATCGTCTGTTTCGATTTGTTTATAGCTCACTAGACGCAGCTATAAACAAATCGAAACAGAAGATGGCCGAAAACTGACACCTTATGCACCCCCGTCCTTTATTTTCAACAAAAACAAGTTCTGTTCCTCTATAATCTGAATACTCACCGATAAGTATTTGAATTATTATTATTGTTCAAAATAGATTTTTGCTGATGATGATCATCCAAATGATTTTTTGAAGAATATCGTTTTCTTGGCGGTTCATAATTTGATGCTTGTCGATCATAATCAGAATGTCGACGAGATTTTCTTGATGATTCTTCCTCAAAACTATTCAAAAGAAAAACGAAAAAAAAACGTCTTAAAATTATAAGAAATTATGAATTACGTTTTATATTCTTGAGAAGATCTTTCAGTCAACGATAATTTTCTATTTTTTGAGCTTGTATCCATCGCTGGTAAAACATCTAAATTAATTTAATAAAAAACAAAAAAGAACGTAATTTTTTCTTATTTCTGGAAAAATATTTTTACCAAGCTTATTTCCTCTGAGGATTAAGTTTGTTTGTCCTTCTTTAGTTAATGTTCGAGCATCTTCTATCCGATCATATTGTACAAATAAATAATCTTTATAAACTCGAATATCTAAATTTAAATTTAAATTTAAAAAAATTCTTTAATAAAAATAAACGCAAATGAATAAAAACCTGAAACTTTGCCAAATGTTTTAAAAAAATTAAGTAATTCACTATCAGTTATATTATCCGTTGGAATATTTCCAACATAAACTTTTGCATCCAAGTTCGATCTGAAGGAATTTCTATTTGAAAGATAAAAGAAATTTCAAAGGAATTTAATTTACGTTCGTTGTGAATTTGAATAATCATTTGATCTTGTTAAATTTACTCTCTTTGGATGATAATTTTCATTATCATCTTTACTATTTTCACGTAAAACAATTGTTGAAGATTTTAATGGTGTGAAAGATTTTTCACGATCACGACGAATATCAGACATTGTTAACAAATTAAATTAAATCAGAAACCAAAAATAATCAATATCGATTCATTAAATTTTACTAACGATTTTATTTTGATTTCACGATAAATCACTTTCTATAAGGTTTTATTTTTAATCCTTAAACAAATAAAAATACCCATAAAACAAAAAATACTAATCGAAAATTTTCAATTAATTTTTTGTTTTATTTTTATAATCGACTATTTAAATGCATAGATATGTTGATTATCCGAACTAGAAAACATTAGAGAGATGTTTAAAGATGAATTTTATTGGTTATAGATTATCTTCAAAATTGACTTTTATTTCTAAGCAAATTAAGTCATATATCAAAGTACATTTCATAATCACATAACTATTTATTCAAGAGACTAAAACGCCAAGATTAATTAAATTGAAAAACAAGGAAAAAGCACGTTTTAGTTGATTTGTCCATGAAAACTAAAACTAAAACTATATTGTTATGCAAAACACAAACTATAAATACAGGTTTTTCAACAAACATCACATAATTGTAATCGAATTTTTTCACAAAGTAGACATTGACTACTCTACATAATTTTATTTGAGTCGAATTGAAAACATCTATGCAGTTTTTGATTGCTATTTTTTTAATCGATACTTATTGATATACTTGAAATGGTGGTTCATCAATCAAGAAAGTGGTTCAACAAGAGTAAAAACGAACGAGAAACAAAATATCATAATGATCAATTCTGATAGCAAAAACGAAAAATATGACAATTTAATTTAATTTTAACAATAATAATAGTCTCTCATATTTAAACGAATCATATAAATCGACGTTTGTATATCATATTTCAATTTTTATTAACTAAAATCAGTAATATCATACTTGAAAAATCTAGGCATGATCTAAAGAAGAAATTTCTAATCTCGTAAGTTTCAAGCTCATTGCTTGACTACTTACAAAAGACTGTAGTAAACTGTTGGTGATCAATGCCGCTCTCAGTTTATATTTCAATAGCACAAATAAAAACGAAATTTCATCTTTTATTGTAAAACCTGTAGTTAAAGTCGAAACCTCGTTTCAAAATAACAGACTTTTTTATGCTTATAAAATCTTACTGATGAAAATGTTTTTAAATCTTTGATGGATCTCTTATAAAACATCGATGACAATCTGTTTCTATGATGATATTTATTAATTATTAGATATATCCTAGTTAAATTAATTAACAATATGTCAAAATAGACATTGAATTTTCATGAAAATCAATCAGCGTGGTCTCTTCAAATGTGTAATAATTATAAATGTTATCTATCTATAAAATAATACATTACTGATAGTGACGCATCATTTCATTGTATTTTAAATTCGAAAGACATATTCAAATTTTACAAAAATGGAAATTATCCACGATAGAATTTATTTAAAAAATATTCTATCAGATATAGCGAATTTGAAAAAAAATATCACCAATAGTTTTGATAAAAGAACAAAAATAGACAGGCATTTTTTCATATGTTTTCATATAAACAGATAGCGAACTAAAGTGTATATGAAAATCATAAAATCTTCTCTCCATAATATATAGTAAATAAGTCAAATAAAATGATTTATTTATTTTCTCTTAATAAATTAATAGATAGTTTTCCTTTTTTTTATTAATCTGATGATAGTTATAGAAAAGTAAAACAAACATTAATCTTTCTTTTCCATTGAGTAAAGTAAAATAAAAAATATTTCGAAAAAATTGATCTAAATTATTATGAACATATGATAGAATTTTGTCGCATCAAATATCTTCTAGTTTATCGTTTGAAAAATAATCAACAGGAAAAAAACCGAAGATTTTGAGACAAAACCAAGGGGGAAACAGCGGACTTTCGAACTTGAAGTTACTTTGAGCTACTTTAAGCTATTTCAAGTAATTTACTTTCACCTACTTTTCAACTTCACATTTACTTGAAGTTATCTGAAGTTACTTGTTCTAACTTTGTGCTACTAGAGTGATACTTTTAGCTACTTCAAGTAGTGTACTTTGACGTACTTTTGTACTTCAAGTCCGCTGTTTCCCCCTTGGACAAAACATTAAAATTTGATAGAAGAATAAATATTTTCTTTAATAATATGAAAATACTTTTTGCTTTAGAATTTATGATAACATATGTTGCATTTTTCTTTTTTCATTATTCGTCAATTATGATTCATATGAAAAGTAAACTTATCGGTTTTTAGTTATTCTTCGTATTTTAATAAAGGTAAGAAAGTAAAGATAGACGGACAGACGAATAAAACATAAGAATATTATATGGCAACAAAAACAAATAGAAATAATCTGAAATGTTATATCTGTGGAAAAATGTTCACAAATGCAACGGTTCTTACACCTTGTGGTCATTCGTTTGATCGTCAATGTATTCTTCAATATAAATATTGCCCAATAGAACTTTGTAATACTCCTGTATTTGAATATTACTTATCAGAAAATAATTATAATCAATCAACAGAAAATATTTATGAAATATTTCTATTAGATACAAGTACATCTATGTGGTATTCAGATTCTTTTACTGGCCTTTTTGGTACAAGTAGATTTCAGATAGCAATTAAATTTCTCGAACATGTTTTTCAACACAGGTTTGTCTTCATTTATTTTAAAAACTAGAATATTTATTTAATTGCATTTAGATGGAATTCATTAACAAATCAAATCTCATTAATAACATTTGATAAATATCCGATCGAACATTTTTCATTTGAAACTATTCGTCAACATCATTTAGAAATTCTTGAAAAACTTCAACCAAATGGTTCACAAACATGTTTATTTGACGCATTGAAATTCTCATTAGAAAAATTTGAAAAATTAAATGAAATTCTCAATCGTTCGACAAGACAATCAATTTACGTTCTTAGTGATGGTGCTGATAATTTTAATTCAAGTGGAAATCAAAAACATTATATTAAATTTATTAAAGAATATAGTAAAAAATTAAATATTCGTGGAAATATAATTCAAGTTGGCGACAAAAATTTATCGTATACAAAGAATCTTTGTCAAGATATTAATTATCAATTTCATCATTTTAATAGTTATAATACGGAAGAATCTATTAATTCATATTTATTATCATCAAATATTCATTAAAATAATATTTCAACTAGAGAATCACTAGAAAGTGTTATGTCTGTATAACATCAGTTCTATTCATTTTTTTGCTTTTATTTTTCCGAATAAATATTTTATTAAATAATCGTTATCTTCTATTTTTGCATTCATCATATTCTTAACAGATCTGTAATTTATCTAAAATAAATTCTTTCATATGCAATCAAATTAAAATATATATTTAGTCGCTTTGTTGAAAAAAACTGCCAACAAAAATAAATTATAGAATATTTCAAATTCAAAACTTAAAATTTTTTTTCTAAGTTACATTTATTAAAGCAATAACTGAAATAAAACTTAATCTAATTTCCTCATATTATATATTAAGATAATTTCCTAGGTTGAAGTGTGAAACAAGAATTATTGTTCTATGCAAAATAAAATGGTACATTCAAAGTAGACAAAAAAACGATAATAACCTTTTCTATCTGAATTTGAAAATTTCCTTGTTTGATAACATTTTTTGTTTTCTGCTTATAAGCTATCTCGTGTATAACGAACTGTTTTAATCTTTATCTTATTTTTCATTATGTAAAAATGAATTCTAATACAAAACAATGTTGCAAAAAATATGATCTGCTTAGTAATTTATTATCACCAATATTCGTAATATTAAAAAGACTTCTATCTTCGATTTATTTAAATATTGTTCGACATAGTAGCATGCTGATTTGATTATCAGATTTTTAAATATTAAATAGACTCTTTTGAATTCTGAAATTAAATAGAATAAATATTTTTGTTTTGAAACTTAAATCTTTCACCCGTTTCGATTGACCTTTAGTACTGATAGAAAAAAATGTGTGACATATACTTCTAACTATGACAACTAAATATAAATTCAATCAGGAAAAACTACAGGATAGTGTCGACAAATTGAAAACTTACAACTGAATTGACGTTCATATCTCGATATATTTGAAAATAAAATTTCCATTAATTTTCAATGCACCAATAGACTAATAGAGATAGATGGAATTTGAAATATTTAAAATAAATATTTGCGATGAATAGAACGATTACTTTATATTTGAAGATCATGACATAGAAGAGCTTTTTGTTTTCGTAATTATTTATAAATTATGAATAAATATTCTTCAATAGAATAATAGATTCATATTTTGACATAGCAAATCAATTCGAAATATTTTGTACAACTTTATTCAAGGTATCAGCATAGAAAAGTATAATAGTCACTGTTTCTATTGAATTACACAATAGAAAGCTGTAATTTTTCACTGATTATCATCTGATATTAGAAGACGTTGGAAGACAATCTCTACGATATATTTTCGGGAGAAAACTAGAGTGAATTTTAAAGTAAATTAATTATCTTGAACAATTTTCTTAGTGAAAAAAATACACCAATTCAACATGATTTATTGAGTCAAAAATCGCGTTCTATGATAATGCATTGCATAGAACTAATTCAAGTACATTAAATAATATTAAAAACGACCCATCTTTCATACAACAATAGATTGCTGTGAAATTTAAAAATCAAATTCTCTAAAAATTCAACAAATCTTTTGATTAGATTTTCGGAGAGAATTGACAACTTTGACATCTAGATAAGATTTCCTTAGCTTTTATATGATATTATTCATTTAAAATTAAAATAAAAGAAAGTGTTACTCTTCATAGGAGCAACAGACTGAATTTTGAATCAATGAAATTAACTTCTGATTCTTAATGTATAAACAAAGTTGTCTTTGATTAAATCCTAGTTGAGAACTTTTTTGATACAATGAAAGAAAATCTAGAAATATTTCGATGTTATCCGATATTTATTCAATAAATCTGATGTATTACTGATTAATAATTTGATGACAATGAGATTTCCAGAGAGAAAAAAACCTTACACAAAAAACCGAAAAACAAAACCAAAAACTACATAAACATTAACGATGATGGTAATGATGTTGATAATAATATTAATTTCCATTTGTTGAAGCAGGTACATATTTTTGTCCATTATTAATATATCGTTCATATGCTGAATAACGACCCGCAATAAATGCCGAAATAGGTAACGAACCATAAACAAACACAATAGCTGAAATCATAGCACGTGACGAATAAGAATTAAGTTGTGCAGTAGATCCATAATCAAAAAGACCAGCTGTCATTAAAACACATGCGACAAAGTATAACATTGGAATAAGAAATCGTCGATCACTTGTCTTAAACATTTCCCATATTGAAAATATTCCACCAATTAATAAACTTATCAAACCGAATGAACATAAGAAAAATGTTGTTGTCATAAGTTCCCATGTGCACGACACTTTATCAAATGATGTACACGACATTAATAAACCCTTAAACGTTTTATAAAAATATAAAAAATTTTAAATTAGATAAAGCAAGAAGCTTACTTTCCATCCCAAACCAGATTTATAATTAATATAAGTTCCATTTTCTGTTGAAATAGACATATCTGGTCGTGGTGGAAGTGATACCTTAGTCCAATAATTAGTTGTCAATGCAATAACACCAAGTACAAAACCAACAAAAGCAAATACAGTGACAATCAAAGTCATTCTCCGAAATAATGGATCTAGTGACATTTTTTCTTATTCGCCTGATTTTCAATCAAATGAGCGCAAATTAATTGACGACAATGAATTCCAACAACCGAATGATCAATTTATCTCGCTTTTATACGAATAGATGCGAACAAAGAGAGAAAATGAAACGAGAGTAAGAGCGAGAGAGAAAGAGAGAATTATAGAACAATGATTTATCCTTTGATTAATTCTCTATCGAATCTCTATTGGCATTAGACAACGGTCAACCATCATACGGTTGAATTTTAGCTACTGAAAGAAATCTCTACTGACTGACGGAAATTAAAAAAGAACGCGAAGAACAAGAAAAAAAGTTGAAGGTCATGCCCTCTCGTTTTGTTTCTCTTTGCGTTTATGAATGCATAAACAATAGATTTTCAAGTTCATTTCTCAGTTTTTCTATGAGAAAATATTTTAAGAAATTTTAATTCTCATTCGAAATGAAAATAAACAATTTTAATTGATTTTCTTAAGAGATAATTCAATTAAGTATGAACTAATTTTGACGAATATTAAATAAAATAGAAATTCAAAGAGAATCTTAATCAAAATTGATAAGATTGAATAAATAAAATAAACATGGAGAAAGAATTATCTGTTTTCTGCAGCGTGTGTATTTTTCATTTTCTAATTGATTGCACATATTTTTAATATTTACTAATTGTTCGATTTTATTCCATAAAAAAGGAGTTAGTTCTTTGTCATAGACCAATAATTTTTCTCGTCTCGCTAGAAGCGACTATAAAATCAGTACTACAATTGAACGGAAACTAAGATTCAGCAAATATGATTACATAAAAACATGTTTTTTATCAAGTAAAAAATGAGTATTAAACTCTAATAGAATAATTATATGTAAATTATTTTCGTTGTTTGAATCTAGATGACTTCTTTTTATAAAAGATTTGTTTTCTCTATATTTTACCACTACTTATCATTCTTAGAAGTTTATCAATAAAAGTTAAATGAATATTGAATCGAATAAAGAACTACACTTAATGATCTTTTATTGAATTTGATCAAACATATTCTAAAGAAAAAAGTGTTCAGTTTCTATCGATTTTTTCATTTATACAGTGAAAATTTTTGATTGATTATTAATTTAATTTTTCAATAAATAAAAATCGATAAACAATTGAAAACAATTGATTATATTTAATAACATTTATTCGTTAAGTTATCCATTTTATTTTTATAGTCTCTTTTGCTTCATTGTAAAATATCTGATAATAAGAAAAAAGATGAAGAATTTCGTTTGATAGAACAGTATGAAATCGAGATTTTCTAAGATAAACTAATAAACATAAAAGAGTTAGTGGCCTCTGTTGACGAACTCTACTTTTCTTTATGAAAATTATTCAATTGTTTGACCAATGTTCATTTTTGTTGTTTTTCTATTTGTTTGTTTGTATTTGTTCAATTGACTTGTTTGTTCGTCTTGAAAGAAAAAGGTATTCAAACAGGAAGAGATAATATGTATTTTGTGTTAGAGAACGAGAAAAAAAACATCGATTATCTGAATAAATATTTACATTAAAAGAGAGACAAGAAACATTTTCGTAGAAATATTTGCAACTATAATTTATTAAAATGAATTTTTCGAACTGATAGATGAAATATTTTTTTACTTAATTTAATAGAAATCTTTCTTAAGATCATCAAAATGTTAGAAGAATTTCTATCGGGAAGTTCCTTTGTAGCTATTTCTTATTTTATCAGAAAGAAAAGTAAATTTGAAACATATTCTATGAAGTTTGACGATAATTTTTTATCATCATATTTTCTTTTATGATTAATTTTTCGTCAGTAGTGATTGAAAGCGGAAAAAATTATGTTTCGAGTAAGAGTTTACTATTAAATGTTTATCTGCTACGAAAAAAAAGCAGCTATTTAAGTTCTAATGAAAATTTATCTATGTATATGATGACGAATTATCTTTAATCGAACATCTTCGATAAAATTTCTTGATACACTATGATAATAAATGAATTGTTGGTTTTTTATTTTTATTTTCAGTAATTGGATTTACTTCTCAACTGAATTCATTGGAAATTTTCTAGAATTTGTTAAAAGAAAAAATGCCAATAAAACTTGAACGAAAACATGCTTGTCCATTTACATTGGTACCATTACTTATTGCACTTGGTTTTGTTCTTTTTAAATTGTATACAGCAAGTAAAGTAACTAATCCTGAAACTGGTCGAACAGCTCGAGTTGGTCTCAATCCTGAACAAGAGCAAAAATTAGGTCTAGAAGCTTACGCTCAAGTAAAAAAAGATGAAGCAGCAAAAATTGTTCTAACCGGACCTGAAATTGATTTAGTTAAAAGAGTAACGAATAAACTTGCCAAAGCAGCAGCACAAAAAGCAACTGTTAATTATAATTGGGAAGTATGTATCTTTAATTAATAATTATTTAAAAAGGAAATATCTATTTTTATTTATTTCTCTATTAGATTAGTGTAATTCAATCACATGAAAAAAATGCTTTCTGTTTACCTGGTGGCAAAATCGTTGTTTATACAGGTATTATTCCAGTAGCAAGAAATGAAGCAGGATTAGCTACAGTTCTGGGTCATGAAATGGCACATGCTACTTCGAGACATGGTGCCGAAAGACTTTTTCGTTCTGAAATAACGAAAACTATATTGGGTGGTGCTCAACAGAGTCTTGCACAAATGGATCCAAATCAAAGACAGGTTTGATTCGGCTTTTTTTAATTTTTTTTTGTTTTTCATTGAATAACAAATATGATTAGACAATAATGGGAGCACTAGGTGCTGGTGCCAAATATGGTGCAACATTACCATTCTCTCGTGAACAAGAATCTGAAGCAGATCACATTGGCTTATTATACATGGCTCGTGCTGGTTATGATCCGAAGGAAGCGATAGATTTTTGGCACAGAATGGATGAACTACTTGGCAAAGGTTCTCCATCAGAATTCATGTCTGATCATCCATCACACGGTACACGTATTAGTCAACTTAAAGCATGGATGCCTGAAGCAGAAAAAGAATTTACTCAATATCATAGTCGTGCTCCAGCTGCATGAAATGTTTTTCTTTTGTTTTCTATAATCTAATTATGTATCATATACTATTTAATACGAATAACGAACTCTCTATTCATTGATATGTTGTTTTTTTTGTAATGCTTTTTTTTTCATATTTGCTCATATTAGAGTGAAAATAGCTTCGAGAAACGAAATATAACTTTCAATGATAACCTGTCTAAAATATTTCCAATCTAGGCATAAACAATTTTTGAAATTTTTTGATGATAAGGCTTTTAAATAAAGCGCTGTTCAAATTGTACTGTAGTATAAAAACAATAATTAATCATCTGATTTAAAATTTATCATATAGAACTAACAACAAGAAATGATTACTCGATCTGATTTTTATTATGAGGTACTAGTTGATATCATCGGTACTTCTCTATTTGCTCTTATCTTTATTATTATTTATCTTCTTAATAATTCTACGAACTATTCTTTCGACAGAGAATATGATTCCAATTTTAAAAATCATCAAGAACAAAACAACACTGCTAACTCAATGATCAATACAGCAACAAATGTAACTTGATCTTCATCAATTCAACAATATCCATTCCATTCATCATCTGAATTTGCTCAAATTAATTTATCTTTCCTATTTAGTTTTCTTTCTCTAGAATAACATTGATGCAAATATAGCACATTTAAAAACAAGTCTTTTATGTAGGTCATTAGGAAAATTTTCAACAAAGACGATAGATCGAATGTATATATCATATATAAATAAAAATGAGCTTATTTTCTTGCTCAAAGTGGACGACAATACGACGATTTTCTATGAATTAAGTAAATTAAAAAAGAATTATTTACTGGAACTTACGAGAGAAGTACCCTAACTGTTTAAAAGCTTTTGACTCCATCTTTGGCTATAAGTAGATTTTAGTGAGACTAAAAAACCCCTAAGAGGACTCGTGCCCATGGCTTATTTAATCAAGAGCTGCGACCGATTACTGAATTTCCGGCCTATTTCGTGGGTGTTCATGGAAAAATCCAGTTACAAGAATTCGATCTAAAATTTTGCCCGTGGATAAGTCTGACAATCATTAGAGTACCAAGGAAATTTCTACCAAAACAGAGGCTTCTTTCTTGAGATATTAAATTATAAAAAAATAATCGCTTTTCGCTGACTTGCCACAAAATCGAATTTATGTGAATACCCACATTGTAAAAAAAAGAGTAGATAAATGAACCTTTGTCTTATAAAAAAAAAATTTTTTTTTAAATTTTTATCCCTCAAAACGGCTCAAAATTTTTTAATATATACAGTTTTGTAGAGTTCGACGAGCTCTATAAAACCATGTAAAAATATCGAAAAAACATTTTACTCGATTTTTGAATTAGCTGCACTTTAATTTCATTTCGACCAAAAATACAGAGGCACGTTCATTTTTTATCATAAAGGAATATTTATTTTATAATTCTATGATTGATTAATTTTCAAATTCGTCAACATCAAGTTTATAATTGAATTAATCAAAATAAAAATAGTTTTCGTTAATACTTGACATCAAAAAGTATTTTTGGAATAATTACCATGAGAAGTCCTCTATAATAAATTCCCAATAATATCATCAAGAAGAAAATGGAGAGATTCTTTTTCTTTTACAATATCACGATTAAGTTTTATGAAAAAAAAACAATGAAAATCAATTAAAAATGATCTTGACAAGAACATTGTCCATTTGTATGAAAATGATGAATACGATTCGCATCACGTACAATGATTTCACATTGTCGAATTTTTGCAATGAGTTTTGTTGCACGATCTAACAAAATAATCTTGAAAACATATTTCAATATCATAAATGACTTACGACAATCTCCAAAGACACGAAGATTTTTTGTTATTTGAATAAATGATGGTCGAGGATACTGAATAAAATTAAATGCAATAGCAAGTTTTTCACTATGACCACATAATACAGATTCAATAGTTTCCTCGTTTTTAAGTGGCCGGGTAACCCAAGTTGAATCATATTCATGACCATGTTCTCTCAATTCATTTGATAAACGTTCAAGTTCAGCATAGATTTTATCTGATTGAGGATGAGAACGATCATGAGCTTGGAATCTCTTAAATAACCAAAACAAAAAATTTTCATAGACAAAAAATTTTGTTTTACTACCACAAGTTGACCATTAACTTCAGTCCATGATACTCCAACTTTGACATTTTTACCAAGTTCTTTTATCCGATCCATTCGTATTGCTGCGACTTGTTGATCATCTCCCAAAGATGAATAAGTGTTTGATAATAGAACTGAAGCAGAAATCAAAGCAGATTTTTCATTAGGAAATAATAATCTCATTCGATTGAATATTTTTTCTGAAAGAGCAATATGACGATGATTTCGAGCACCTGACAAGATGGCTGCTGCAAAAAACAAACAAGACAAATAAATGATTAACTTGTCAATTCAATAATGATTTATATCTAAGAAATAATTTTCTTACAATACATAATCAGATAAGGCGAATTTGACTTTTCATAATCATCAATCAATTTTTGTGCTGGATCAAACATAGCCATACGACTAAGACAATCGATCTAAATTATTAATACGAAGATTCTTTTGCGCTGAAAACCAATAATCTAACCATTGTAGTAACAATTTCTTCTGATTTTTTATCGATTTTATTGAATATCATTTGAGCTTGATCAATGAGACTCGAATGAGAACAAGCATTCAAAACACAAATATGGGAGATTTTATCACGAATATTCTCGGGTATTTTATTATACAAATTAATTGCTTCATAACCCATTCCATTTCTTGCATATGCATTTACTAAATAGAAAATAATCAATATCATTTGTAAAACAAAAAGTAGATGACATAGAAATAATTATTGATTTACTCATAGAATTATAAGTAATAATTTCAGGTTGAGAAATCGATTGAAATATTTGTTTTGCTTGATCAATATCACCTGATTTACCCTATTGAAAGAATCTCACATAATTAATAAGCACAGTTGAAATAATTCTTACCTACATATCGATCAAAGCATTTTGTACATAAATCTTCGATTGTGGAAGAGTTATTTGACGAACAATATTCTGACAAATGGAACGTATCCCTATTTGAGAACATGCTCCAACTAATGCTACATATATAGCTTCATCTATTGTTAAATTTTCTTTTTTCATTTGTTCGAAAAGTGATAAACATTTCTGTGGGTCTTGATGGGTTTTATAACCATGAATCATTACTCCATAAGTATATGGACTGTGTTGTTTAATTTTTGAGAAGAGATCTTCAGCAATTTCTATTTCACCAAATTTCATGAACATATGCATTACTGAAGTAACTAAAACAATATTATTTAGATATCCCTTTGGCATTTGATCAAATATTTTCTTTCCCAATTGAATTGCTTTTTCATTTGATAATGAAGCACATGCATTATATACAATTGTATATAGAACGTCATTAGGTTTCATGAGAATTTTTTCAAATAGATCTAATGCTTTCTCAGATAAATTATTCTTAAGATAGACTAAAATAAAATTTGCATAATTATCAGAATTTTATTGTTTATTTTTAATTACCTTGCATCATCGCTCCATAACTATAGGAAGTCTTTTGTTTAATTTGTGAAAATAGATACTCAGCAGATTCTATTTCACCAAATTTCATGAACATATCAATTGCTGAAGTAACTAAAGTTGGATGTCGAAGAAAAGAAGTTGGTAATCGATTGAGTGTGTCTCGTCCAATTTTAATTGCATGACTATTGCAAAGTTTAGCACAAGCATTAAATAACATTGTAATGACCACTTCATTGATTTCTATTGATATTTTCTCAAATAATTCAATAACTTTTCCTGGCATATTATTTGAGATATACCCTATTATAATCAATGCATTTTAAGAAAAAGAAAACAAATGTAAATTACCTTTGAACATTGCACCATACATAGAAACTGTTTTATTCTTAATAGTTGAAAAAATTTTATGAGCTTGATCAACATCATGACACTGCACTAGACGAAGAAAAATACAGAATCATTCGATATATTTATTTGATCTAATGTAAATAATAGTTTCCTTTTTTCTGTATCAAAAAATATCTAAGGAGTGGAAAAATTCAAAGAAAAAATAGAAAATGATCATTTACTATAGAAATGAATTAAAGATGCTTGAATAAATGGGTTTTCAAGTGCTTTTAATGATAATTGTTGATGAATTCGAATACTATATTGATAATCATTCAATTTTGTACATGCTTTTAAAGCTAAATTAAATGTAATTTGATCACATATAGATCGTTGACGATTAACAAGGTCAAGAGCTTGTCTATATTGCTGAGATTCAATTAATTTTTTCATATCTAAGTTTATCTGCATTGATGACGATGACAAGACAGAGAAGTATTTATATTTTCTTAGATCAAATTTCCAAAAAGATTGAATCAAATATCGGGAGATAGAATTCAACATCATCTATAAAGATCAATAAAATTTATCAGAAATAGAAAAGAAAGAATATCGTTGGATATCCATTCGAATATGGTACGAATTCTTATAGTGAGCAGACAGAACAAAAAAGAATACGCGTTAAGCGAATCAATATCAAATGCGCTATCTATGGCGCCCCTAAAACCGACTAAAAAGGCCGAACTTTTAAAGTATCTTAATCGATAGAGAAAATTATGCTGAGTCGA